ACCAGGATTATCTGTGGCCAAGAGGGGACTCCCTGCTCCCAGGCCAGTCTGAGCGAGATGCTGCTGTCCTTGGACTGACAGCAGTGATTCGGCCCAGGGCTGCGGGACCGCTGCTGTTTCTGAGTCTCTGACACCTGCTCACAGAGACGGAGATGCTGAGGCGGAGATGCTGGAAGCGTCACGTGGCCACTTAGCAGCAGTATCCTGTGGTTTCAAGCACATCACCGGCTCCATCCGACACTCGGAGGTGCAAACCACACACCTCCCACTGCACGGCTCGCGTTTTTCCATTAGGAATGATCACCAAGTGTCTGTTTTCTGACGGTTAAAGTTGCTCAGTATATTTCAAGCGCAAAACTTAATGGTATTTTTACAACATTTCCTCAAACTTTAAGACGGTGGGAGAAATGGACTCTATGACCTTGGGAAGAGCCCAGCCGCCCCCAGGCCACAGTGCTGCAGAGCAGCCAGCAGGGAGCAGGTGAGGACCCTCGGGCGCCCGGTCCCTCCCCCGTGGAGCCCCTCGGGCACCTCAGGCTGCAGGCGTGTCTTCAGCCTTTCCTTCCCTTTCCTTCCCTTTCCCACCCCTTCCCACACCCTTGACCTCCAGGGTCCCCCCTGCAGACCTGTCCCTCCGGTGGCCCCTTTTCCTTGTTTTAAAGAACTGCTTAGGTTTCCCTGGAGCTGTTCTGAGTCTCTGTAACAGCCCTAAAGGAGTGTCTCATGTAAGAGACGACAACAGTGTGATGAAAATAAGCGGTTCGGAGGGCCAAGGAGGAAAAGGGAAGTCAGCCTCCGCCACCCAGCGCAGCGGGGGCACTGCGGTCTGCCTGGGGGCCTGCTGGTACCACCCCAACACCACTGGAGCCTGGCAGGCCAAGGTGGGACGGGACCGTGGGTGTGGTCAGAGCAGGGTGGGGGCCTCTGGAAAAAGACCCCTGCAAAAACTCCATATTAAACAATTCAGCAAAATCAAAGTCACATTAATTCTCTAAAGTAAAATATCAAAGTAGGAGTATAAGCATTCTTTAGTAAAGATTAGTTAAAACTAAAAAGCCAGGAGTGACCTAGCCTGGAATGTTTGAACATCCCCCACATAAGAAAAGACAGCAGCACAGCCCGTGTCTTCATTGTGTCAATTAAATGAGGCTATTGTAGGATTTACTTTAGCCGCTAAAAGGCCCAGTTTATCTTTAACTTTACTCAGATGCTGTTTTCCTCCTCCAGCCCTAATCAAGTCAGTAACTCAGCTCACCGTGAAGGCAAGACAAGCAGCCCTGACTGATTCGCTCCCAAACCAAGAAGCTGCTACTCTGAGAAAGGATCAGAGCAGTAAATTTCTTATGTTAACTCTGCAAAATAGTCTGGAAAACTGATAAGAAACTTAGTGTCTCTTTAAAGATAAACATTTAGAGACCACATCTGGTGGGTCTGCACCCCTAGCTCTTTGTCTCTCAATCCCCCATAAACCCCCTCAGACAGCGCACCGCCTGGGCTCTCCTGTCCCCTCCAGGCTCGCGCCAGAAGCTCCGTCTGTCCTCTCACTGTCTCTCTCAATAAGTCTCCCTGCCTCTCCCACCTTGACTGTTTGCTAAGTCCATCCTTCGACTCAGCAAACAAGAACCCCGGCATCAAAGGAAGAGGCCAGTTACTGGAAAGAAAGCTGGGGAGGGAGTGGGGCCTCTCCTACCCGCTCCCACCTGGCCACACCCGACCTTGGAGCCCATGAGACAGGAGGGGACAGGAGCGTGTCACTCAGAGACCCAAAGGCACCACCTGAGTAACAGACAGGGCCCCCACCACCACCTCCACAGGGCCACCTGTGAACAGTTCCAGCCAAAACCAGTGGGACAAGGGGGAGGCAGTCTCTTCAGGTGCAGAATGCAAAGGGTGCTGAAGGTCAAAAGTCAAGATAATGTTTTAATTCACTATCTTTTTAGAAATCAGAACTAATGCCAAACCTTCCTGATGGGCAGATGGGGTGCCCGGGGTGGGCAGCACAGCCCCAGCTCCATCCATCAGGCTCTGCAGGGCCACACTGCCACACGTTAACCAGAGGCCATGAGGCCTCCCAGCTCAAAATTGGTCAACTCAGTACTCAAATTACTTGTAATTACATGCTGGCTTTTCCATTCCCTCCCAGTCGGGGGGTGAGCATTCACTGTCTTCCCTCAGGTTCTCTGTGGGCATCCTGGCTACCGAAGGGGGTCCGAGGAATCCAGTGCCCCGCCTGCAGGGGGCAGCCCGTCTGCTTTTGGAGCCCGTGTGGGACACCGAGGAAGAGGCCCCAGACCCGAGCAGGGAAGCTCTGCACACTGCAGCCCACCGTCCCCAGCAGTGACCTGGGGTAACAGAAAACCCCCGAGGGCAAGTGCAGTATCGGCCTGGGAGGCAGTGAGCACCACCAACGGCCTCACCGGCGCACACACTCCATCCAAGGGGCTGCTGTGTTCCACTTCCTACTCACACGCACTGGGGACGGACACAGAGGGACCTCGGACTTTGCACTGGCATCTGCCGAGCACAAGATTCCTACTCTGAAATGGTGATGGGAAGGCCCATCTGCCCTGTCCAGAGACAAGCTGCTGAAGGATTAGTAGAAGGAGGCTATTTCTTTTGAAGGCAATCTTTCCATTGTCAAAAATACCACCGTCAATCTGACAGGCAGCAAACACTCACATAAAAACCAAATGGAGAAAATCATTTTCTGCCCAAATCCCTCCTGGCTCATAGGGTCGCTCCGTGCGGAGCCCACGGCTGGCACCCCCAGCAGGAGGCCCCTGCAATGTTCGCGGAGCAGAAGCTCCCGTGGGCCTCCACACTTCCGTGAGTACCACGAATGGCTGAGAAGCTCACCTGGAGCCATCAGCACCTCAGGGACTCAAGGTCCAGGCCTCATCCGCGCCACTCTGTTCCTGCCCACAAGCACCTGGGAGCGCAGTGCAGTGGCTCTTGGGTGAGGGGCGCCCCAATCTTCTCCAGTGTCCCAGTGTCCAGCTGGGCAATGACAGGAGCCGGCAGTTCCAGCAGCATTGGACAGCACAGGCTCTGACCGGCCAGCTCTGAGCCCCTTCAGACGGCATCACTCCCAAACCTGTTTACACCCCAGCTCGCGTCCTTGCCACCCAGGGGCACAGGCGATCAGAAGCCATCCTCAAGAACGGCAGCAGTGACAAAGACGCTCAGGAGGTCGGCTCAGGAGAATGGAGACAACATGGCTGCCTAGCCTAGTCTCCCAACGACCCCACTTTCTCCCCCAAAACAACCCAGAAGGGAAACACAAACCCAAATGAGGTCTCTCCACCTGCGTAAGGTGGAGACAGGAGTGCCCAGACTTCAGAAGGACCAGGGAGAGGAGAGCAAGCGCCCTGAGCAGGGGTCCCTGTTCCCCAAGAAAGCCGGGGCTAGCACTACAGAAGGACACTGCCTCGAGGCTGGCCCAGCAGTGAGCACCCTACACCAGCACCAGGCACCCAGAGCCAGAGCACAGACCTGGGGAGAGACAGCTGGGAAGGGGAGCCTTGAAACGCACAGCCTCCAAGAGAAGCTCTCCAAAAATTGGGTGGAGAGGGGCAGCGAGTGAAGAGGAAGGTCCCCACCCCCAGAGGACACACGCGCCCCCCGCCCCGCCCCAACCAAGCCAGACGCGACCTGCCGGGCCGCCTACACCCAGCAGTGCTGTCAGAAGAGGGCGCTTCGGACCACACGTCTTGTAAAACACCAAACACCACTAAGAGCAACTAGAGATCAGCAAGGTCATAAACAACCACTGCAAAAGAATCAGAAAGTGAAATTCCACAATCAAAGACAAATTCAGTCTGGAAACTGTACACCACTTCCAGCAACAAGAAGTTACAAGCATTTGACGATATGAAAATCACCGTAAATCAAAACCCCCAAAAGAAGGAAAGAAACAGATTAAATAACAGAAAGAAATGAAAGTTGACTGAATATGCAAAAAAAAAATGAGAAGACAAAATTATCTCAGGAATGAATGAATGAATTTCCAGGTGTCTCAGGGAGAAAACTCAAATGAAAATGTAGTAAGCTGGATAAAGGCAGGGTAACAAGAAAACAAGACCGGAAAAAAGAGAAAGGGTCAGGAAAAGCCAGGGGACATGGGGGACAAGCAAAGAGGGGCTCAGACTGTGTTACCACAGCCCCTGAA